AGTTTGCTGGAGGGTTATGGTCTGTTTGGTTTCTTTAAGTGGGTGATGGTGTTTGTCATCAAGGGATCAATTAGATTGATGTACCAAGTAGTATGGTGTATGCTATGATTTGTGTTGTATTTGAGTTGGGTTTATTACTCTGGTATTAAATGTGAATCATGTGTAATTTGAACTTGTATATTCGTTGTTTGTGTTATAGCTTTTGGCTTTTAATGATAGTTTACCTGAGCTAGAATGAAAACAGAAAAACACAAAGATGGTTTGACATCAGAAATATTTTGTTTTGTTTTTGACTGTAGCCGATGTTATCACGTGATCGATTGGATGCATGGTTTTACTAAAATGGAAATTTTTAACCTGGCCAACAAAAACAAAAGGATGATGGTTGCCTTCAAAATGTCTTTGAAAATGGGGCAATGGAAAAGGCTCACATTTGGGTAGACAAAGTTTTAAAAGATTCAATGGGTCAAATTGAAACTCATTGTTTTACCAAATCATGTGACACAATTTAAATTATTGTATCTTTGAAAATTGAATTTATTTGGTGTGACACAATTTAAATTATTGTATTTTTTAAAATTGAATCGACTCAAGTTTTGACTAATTGAATTTATTTGGTGTGACATAATTTGGATCATTGTATTTTTGAAAATTGAATCTACTTAAGTTTTGGCTAACCGGAAGATACTGGAGTAGTCTGTCACAAGTTGCATTGGACATTGGATAATAGCTGTTGCCTTCGGCCCTTCGATAGTTAGTGTGTGTTGGTGATATGGTCCTCATGACAGTTTTTTCTATCTTCTTTTTGTATTCCCACCCCTTGCTACATTCTTTCACCCCCAACTGTTTATTCGGCCATAGGTTTGAATTCTGCAACCCTTTTTGTGGATCATAAGGTGGTTACCAGCTAATAGGAATAACAAAGCAAAAATTTTCAAATAAGTAGAAAATTTCAAATGGCAAACTCTCCCCTAATAACTGTACCATTCTGGTGATTAAATTTTCTCATGTTTGTTTTGAGGTGTGCTTGGATGGCAATTGTGCAGTTTTTTTAATATATCAAACATTTTTTATTATATTTTTTTTTATCATACACACAAATATTCATCAAAAGAGCGTTGTACTATGATTTTTCTAAAACTTTTGAAAACCACATTTTGGTTCACTTTTGACTAATATGTCAATTATTCGAAAGATTTCTTGCAACTTTAGTACTAAGGTTAAAATACGTCAGCTGTGTTTAGGGATGGAAATCGAAATCGGTAATTTAGAACTTTGAAATCGAAATTTTTCGGAATTTTGGTATCAGAATTTTCAACCGATTTTGATTTAGAATTCACCAATTCCGAATTCAAATTCGTTCCGAATTCAATTCGAAATTCGGTAAATTCCGATTTCACCGAATTCATGAATATAAAAATTATTATTATTATTATATAAATATTATATTACATATATATAAAAAATATTATATATATGTGTGAAAATGAAATTGTTATCGAAATAGGAATTCCGATTTCACCGAATTCATGAATATAAAAATTATTATTATAATATAAATGTTATATTATATATATATATATGAAAAAACAGATTTGAAATCGAAATAGAAATTCTGAATTCCGATTTGAAAAATCTCATTACTGAATTCGACCCGAATTCGAAATCAGACATTCCGATTTCCGTTCCGAATTACCGAATTCCGGAATTCGAAATTCCGAATTCAATTTGAATTCGATCGGTAAATCGGAATTTTTCGATTTTGCACACCCCTACCTGTGTTCCCAAAACTCATTAACTCAACTTAGATGATAGGAATATTGGCCAGACTACGGTGAAGTCCCAAGTTCATCTTTTAAATCCTCTCTTTTCCCCTTTTCGGATTGACGTCTCCCTTTGAACTAAAAGAAGTATATCACCTTTGTATTAAAAAGTAATATAAAATTACACTTAAAAAAATATTTTGACATAGACAAGTACCAGGGCTAAGTTAATCCGCTGAAAGCCCTTTTTGTTTTGTTTTAATTTTTTTTTAAAAATCATTAAACAGGCAGTTCAACATATTATTATTAGGACTAGGTTAGAACTTAAGTCACAATTAATTAGGTGATGTGAGGATCAAGGGATGGATCAACTATAACTGCTTGTTGCATTTCGTTCATGTGGCCCGCATAATTGCGGAATGATTACTTTTAATGGAAGGTTAATTAAAGTTCCAATCATAGACCTAATAAGTGCAATTAGCTTAATCCAGTTGTTTGGTCAATGTGGTTGATACAATTAAGAACAAGTACCATATCAGCTTTTAATTAAATGTGTCAAGGACCAGTACTTTTTCAGATTGAGAACAATAACACCATTTTCATTCCTCCACACATCCCACATCTGGCACCTAACTCCATTAAAAAACGATTAGATGGTAGCTAAGAGGGGAATAACAGCTTCGATGTTTTTTAATTAATACATTTCATTTTCAGTCATTTGTTTTTATTTTTTTTAATTAATTGTCTTTGAAGCCATTGGCATCGTTGCTTGCATGTATTTTAGTTGCATGTCATGGGTAATTTAATTTGCACATCAATAAACTTCGTCTAGAAGGGCTTAATCTCAAGGGTAGTTTTATAGTATCTTCTGAATATCATACTCATGAGTATCATCAATTCATCGTTCGATGTGTAAAAGGAGTCATCAGTTCTCAGATAATTTTAGGAGTTTCAATTATTGAATGATATGGTAAGAGTTTATTAAATTATAATCACCGAGATGGTAAAAATTCCCAATCTGAGGGTCTAATCTCGGAAGGTCTATTGATACCTGGCCGACAAAACCAAAACTTTCAAGTGTATTAAACATATTTAATCCAAGATAGAACAAGACTGCAGTAGGTGATCAATTAGCCAACTAGCTAGACATCCTCTCTTGGTTGTTTTTGTCCTGTCTTTAGCAGCAAGGGATGTGAGGGGCCATTTGATCCATCCTCATCCATTGATTCTTGATTACATCCCAAAAATGTTGGTGGCATTTGATATTAAAAAGCAAGTCTTCCTTCTGGTTCAGACATGAATGAAAGACACTTCACACTGCTTAGCTACAAATGATTGTGACGAAAATTATTTCTTGTTTTCCAACCAACAAATTTGGTCCCACTATTTTGGAGATATTATTGGTTATTGTCTTTAATTGATGTAATGTCCTAACAAACATCTCGGTTGTAAATTACCATCTGATTGAGATTTGAGGAGCCCAACAGCGGCCGCTATCCCTTGGAAGTCTTGGAATCCTTAACTAATCAAATACCAAATGACTTGCTTAGTTAATACTTAATGCAACACATATTACTGTCGGTCGAAAATACCGAAATAGGTCAATATTTAGCTACACGAGATGCTAATATCAAGTGAATATTGAGATCAATTTCGAGACTCATGAATGTGAAATGGAGTCTGTTTTGAATAATTTCAATAAGTCACTGGCCTAAAATATTACTGTTTGATTCATTAACAAGTCATTAGGGAAAAATGTTCTGTTAATTTGTTTGTCTAAATGATATGTTAGAAGGATCTTGCAGCTACTGCATGATTTGTCATTGCAAATTCAGGAATTATGTTCAATAGCATCTCATCTGGTAAGTTTAACAGATTGCAAATTATGAAATTATTGATTAAAATATTGCTAATCTTGTCAAATCTTCAGTTTATTGATAAATTAAGCAATCAAGTTGTCAAGGGGTAGCGTAGCACATCTAAGGTGTCATTCTAAGTTGTTAAGTTTTGGGGTCATTTGTGGTAGTTGATTTTTGATCAATTTTTTCATCAATTGGAGGGAAAATGATCAGACTAAAAGATTATAATATATGCAAGCTTTCGATCATATAAAAGAATGTAGAATAGGGATGATGGTTGGGGTACTAACAAATGAAGTAGCACTATGGATGAGAGAATAACTAATCAAATACAACCAGATAGGTGAGATAAAAGTTTGGTATATCAAGAGAAAATTTTAGCGCTAGCAGCTCAAAAGTAGAGATGATTTTTTTTTTTCAAAGCAGCATAATAGAAAATTGCATTATACAAAGGCATGGGAAATTAAGCAGAAACCTTCATGTCCCTCAAAATAATAGGGGAAATATGCCTAGATGTCTTCATGTGTGCAAACATAAAAAATGTCTTTGGCAATGTAGGGGGATGTCTCAAGAACATAGTTATAAAACACGGCCCGACTCGATGGTCCAATAGATCAATTTGATGAATTGGCCAAAATGTCGGGTTGGATCACTAATTAGATCGGTTAAGCATTAAATTCGTTTGACCAATCAACGATCTGAAGATTCAATCAATGAATCAGAAAAGAATTACCGATTGAACTGTCAACTTAAAGATTTTATTATTTTTATAATTTAAAACATATTATTATAATATATAATAAAGCTATTGTGTAACTCGCGATTGAACCGGTGAGTCGGTCACCTCTTTTGACTAAGCTACGAGCTGAATTTAATAACTATGCTCAAGAGGTTGAAGTAACAATATTTGATTACTTTGAGACATGAGAAATTTCAATCTATTTAAACCTTTTTTTTTGAAGAAAAAAAGTAGACAATTTTATTAAAGAGATTACTAGAACCTGTCCAACACCATTTGCGTTACAAAGATTATAGAGGGTAGTTCCAAAAAATGTTGGCCAACTTGACAAAATGTGCTAAATTATGTACGACTCTATTTACTTCTCTTGGGATCTAAATTACATCCACATCGTGTTTGTCCAAGGCAAAACGCCTGCCTTCAATTACAGAGCCTATGCCCGAGAGGATCTCCACTGACCTGAACCTTTCGTAATTTACGAACCAAGAAATTTAAACTCTTGCGGACACTACCAGTTTGTTCAATTCACTGCAAAAAACTAATTATATTGTCTTTCTTCTACAATTTTTTTTTTCTAAATTTTAGGCTAATATAAGTTTAATAAGATGTTAAAAAGAAACAAATCGTAACTCGTAGCAATTTTAACTAGGAGGACTATAATGCTTTGATTCAAGTCAGACTACAAAAGAAACCCAATGTACACATTAGAGAGCATGGAGTACCACTTGTACCCCATGTTGAGGCATAAGGGCAAGCATCTGTACAGGAGAGTGTACATAACTTGGGGAGAGTGTGAAAGCATATCTCTGCAAAATCATTGAGAGTGCGATCTTTACTTCAGTGATTGCAAAATTCGAGCCAACACATGTTCGAGGTCCAAGGCTGAAAGGCAAAAATGCTGCTGGATTGTTGATCTTGGTTGCTCCAGAAACCCCTTGTGAAAATCTTTCTGGATTAAAAAGATGGGCATCATCTCCCCATATCTGAGGGTCATGGTGAACTGCTAAGATTGCAATAGATATGTTTAGATCAGCAGGAAGCTTGTAGTTCCCTAATTTTGCTCCTTCCTTTGTTGTTCTTCTTGCGTAGATTGCTGGGGGATAGAGTCTTAGAGTCTCATTAATGATCATGCTAATCTGCACAAACAGATGGAAATCAGAATCATAAGAGAGGAATAAAGTTCCTTCTGATCATTTGAAGGCGAACTCCAAGAAGTTCTTGTTTTCTTTCATCTTCAATCCACATGTTATAGTATAATATTGATGATCATAGCCGTAGGTATGGATTAAAATAAAACGGTATAAACAATAGATTGCCCCTCCCTCTCCATTATCCTAATCTAATGTTGTAGAAATAGCCTAAAATTAAGAAAAAAAAAGAAAGAAATTTTACATACCGTTTTCAGTCTTGAAATCCCTTCTGAATTTGGGGGGTCTTGTCCAAATAATTTGGTCACCTCTTCCCTGGCTTTCTCTTGCCAATCAGTGTTGATTGCTAGAAGAAGAATTGTCCATGAGAGCAAAATTGATGTTGTTCCATGTCCAGCACCATAAAATGTCTTGCACTCATCGATTATTTCTTCAATAGATATGTTATCATTTTCACTACTACAATCATAATGAGCTTTTAGAAGTAATCCAAGAAAATCTTCTCCAAAGCTTTGCTTATCATCCCCCTTTTTCCCTTTCTCCCTTTTCTTCACAATTTCTACAATGGAATCTTGAATTCCTTTCTCAAGTTTATCCGATTCTATATCATCTCCGTCTTTGAAAAACTTCCTGAAAAATTGATCAGTAAAAAGAATCAAGAAAAAGAAAAGATAGTAGCTATGTTAGGTACATAAATAGCTTGCTAAATTGGATTGCTGAAATAATAAGGACTTTTCATCCCACACTAGAGTTTATAAAGTGAAACAACATCTATTGGCCAGAGTAGTCCCCTAATGCTTAAAGTCCGGATTGGATCACACAAAACCCCAACTGCTCTGAGTCCGGATTCAAGGAAACAAATGACTATGGTAGTACTGCAAAAAGGTTCTAGCTTAAAGTAATTACTAAAGGCAACTAACAAAACCAATATACACCTTCAACACACTTAGACAGGAGAAATTTTATCTTGATGCAGACTAACTACATGGTAAGCCTAGTATTTGGTCTTTAACGAATGTGATATTATTGGCAATAGCAATTCACCGAATTGTTCTTTAATCTGACATTAGTGGGTTCCACAATATTATTTGAAGCTTCTTCATTAGTTAAAAACCAACTATTAAACTTCTCAAGTAGTTAGTCCTATCGAGATGAAATTTCTTGATTAGACACGTTGACCACAAATAGCAATATATCAATTGGCAATCATGGGCTATGATCCCACGTATGTAATTCAATAAGACCAAACATATAATCACCTAAGGAAACTTTGACATGTAAGTTGACATTATTAAAGTATGGTTTAATTAATACATTCTGACATTATCTCCTTTAAACCAAATTCTTTATTAAGATTATCACCTAAGAATTCTTTATCACCGAATTCTTTTTTGAAGTTGTTGTATTTATTTTTTACTGAATTAATAGTTATTGGATCTTAAGGAAACAAAAAAGAACTAAACCATGATATTTATGAAGGAGAAATAGCAATATAATAAAAAGTGGGACAGAGAGTGGCACAGGGTATAGGACAGAAGATTCGTTGTGAATCAAATGCCATCTCGAGCTACAAACTCTATGGAAAACTCGGTCTTTGTATAAATCATGTGCAACTCCATCATCTTGTTCCTTTGATCTTTTTAGATTTTTTTTTTTTCAAAATAAAATGCCATAGCAATTATGGCTTCCTCAGGACTAATCACATCATCAAATATAAAGATATTCTTGCTGGGGCTTCTGCCTCTATTAACAACAATTGAAGGAAAAGATTTTCGTTTCTGTTAACCAACCAAAGTCAAATGATGTAATCTGGCAAGCATCAATAAAAAGCTGTAGCATGAAATCATCACCATCAACTTTTATTGGACTGCTGTCAAGGGTAAAATTCCTTTTCATGATTCAAAAATCATAAAGCAGGGTCTAATTCTTTCTCATAATTGAAGATGGCAGGTTGAAATGGTGTTCCACAGATCAGTATTTGAAATGAACACAGATACATGTCAAAATTGACTATAAGCTATGCAACATACAAGTGGGCATCATGGAGATGTTTACCTGATGAATGGAGGCTTAAGTTTGTATGCAATCTTGCCAGTTAAAATCCCCAGCCTTTTCATCATGTTAAATATTTGTTCACCCTCCACATAACTACTTCCAAATGCAGTCCTAGAGATGACCTCTGCAGTTAACAACATGAACTCTTCACTGACATCAATTTCCTTGCCATCATAATCTCTCCACCTTCTCAGCATCATCTCAACACTTTCAACCATTGCTGGGGTCATATCCTAGAAAAGCCAAAATATTACTTAATCGTATAATTAATATAAAGATGTAGATGAATGCCACAACAACAAAACACTTGGGGTGTTAAAACTTTGTTGATTTAGTCCTTTGCAATTAGCATTTTAATGCACGAATAAATATGCTTTTTCAATTGCCATGAGAATTGTCTTCATGTTTGACAAAAACGTGTAATTTTGTTTTTCTATATATTAGGATTTTTTGCTGTGGGTAATCAATTTGAGATACATAAATTTCCCATCAAAGTGTATGCATTCTGAGGATATGCAAAAAGGGAATGAATTAATTAGGAAGGGCTAATTCTACTTTGCACCTTTAAATTTATACTCCATTTCATCTCGTATTCTAAATTTTAATTTTAGACACTTCACACTGTAACATCTCAAATATTTTCCGCTTAAGTCCAGTCGATAAAAACATTAAGAATTGGAGAACCAGGCGTCACTGCATTTTTTGCATGACTGTTAGATGATGGTAAATATACTATCACCTGTTAGAGTGACTAAGGTATAAGATATGTGTATGATCCTCTAGTCAATAAGTTTTTGATAAAGTTGTTGTTGGTTGACTTAAGTCGCACATATAGGAGAGGACAGAGTGGAAAGTATCCAAAACTGAAGTTCAAATTGCAAAGTGAGAATTGGTTACAAATTTGGGGTGCAAAGTAGAAAGCTCCAATGTGTAATCAACCTGTCTTCTTTACTAGACTCTTGATTTACAGTTTTTTTTTTTTTTTTTTGGGTACTACTCTTCATTTACAGTTGAAAAGGTCCAATGTGCAATTGACAAAGAAATAATTAAGAAAAATATAAGTGAATACCCCAAAACATTAAACAATCAATACCAACCCACATTAAACTTCTAGATTTGATTGTTCTACATAAGTTCACATGCCAGTAGAAGTATATATATATATTTTTTCACTTAAGGGTATCCCAATCTTTTGGCCAGACTAGTCCCCTAAAAGTGTAGAGTCTTGCTCTAAGGATATACAACGAAATAGCACACAGGGTCGATCATGAGACCTGTTGGTAACTATCAGACTATGAAACTAGTTGGACTACTCCCGCCGCAACTACACGCCGGAGGCACATATCAGCAGAAGTATGAGCAATATAAAATCTGCTTGTTTACGTACTAGGCTGATGACTTAATAAAGACCAACTTTTATATAAAAATAAAAGTACCATGGCCAAAAAAAAAATAAAAATAAAAAATGACACAAAAGTCTCATAGAACAACTTTTTTCTTAGACAAGAGGGCAAAATAATTGTTCGTTATTTCTCACAATACACAAAGTACTATGAAATTATGAATGCCGTAATTTATGTATTAACAACCCATTCCAAATAAATTAATAAATTAAATGAAAAAGTGTAACTAGCTAAAGTAAGTATGACTAATTTGTGGATCTTACCCTTAAACTCTCACCATGAAAGGCTTGGTTGGCCAGTTTTCGCAATTTGACCCATTTTTCTCCTTCTGATTGCCCAAGACCACCTCCTACAATCTTTTTCAAATATTTACTCAATTTTGCTATGGTAAAAAATTGTTCCTTATCATTCAGTATTTCTTTTATGAGATCCAGATCTGTGATAACCAATTCTGCTCCAGCACCACGCCTCCACCGGAGAAAAATCTTCCCTTCTCCAAAAAAAAATATCTTGATTAACTAGGTAAAAGAAGTTGTAACATAAGCAAAATGTTTTAGCTAGATGGGAACATCAAAACTTTAAACTTGAAAATCCTATAGTCGACTGTCCTTAACATATGTAACCAGCTACAATGGCCTACACTCAATTTGGAAAAGGCATTTGAGGTGGCAAGTTCCGCTTTGATTATCTAACTATCCACAAATCAACATCAAGCCCCCCCAATAACAAAAAAAAAACACTAATCAACATCAAATTTTACCTTGAAGATCTGATTACCCCCGGGGGGGGGGGGGAACAAATAATACAAGTGAAAATGATGTAGCTTACCATAAATGTTCATCCAAGAGTATATGTGAGGCTGAATTACTGGAAATATGTCATGTGATAAGTTGGTGGTGTTCTCTTTCTTCTTTAGCAATTCTCTGGGGCTGCCATGAAGGATACTACGAGGAGGGCCTTTGATGCCTTGTGATTCCAGTCTATGTTGAATCCGCATTGGTTTCCACCATATTATGTGAAGAACTTTGATCAAAGCAAAGAGTATGTAAATCAGAACAAACCCCACAAAGTAAAACTTCATGGACTCCATAGAGAATCAGACCAAAGACTTATGGCCTTGGCATGATCAAGACTGAGAAGCAGAACCAAGAGAAAAGACACTCAAAGAGGTCAAGACTGAAATTGAGACACAATTTGCTAGACGAAACTCATTGATGCTACAAAACAAGGAAGATTAAAAAAATCACACGACTAATGAGAACAAGTTAATTATTAAGCATAGACAACTGACATCTCGACACGTTAATCAAGAATATTAGTAAAATAATCCGATTAAAAGAATAAAGAATTGTTTGCTTTTGTACCATTTATCTAATTATTTATCTACTCCTTGAGCACGTGTCAGTGCATACTCTAACAACAAATGTGAATAAAATTTGTGACATAAGTTTCGAAACTTTGGCTTTTGTTCTTTAAGCGTAAATGGTGTTAGGTCTTGTTGATTCGATTGCTGCTACCAAATAAGGTTACTAAGGAATGATTAATATTTCATAGCGATTGGATGCATCAATATTTTTGGTTTTCACAAAGCTCTATTATCATTGATTGTTCCTTAGTCTGATGAATATTTCTATTAAACATCCAAAAAATAACCAAAAGAAGTGCCATGTTACCTCTCCAATTGGTCATGTTTTACCGAAAAACAAAAGAACAAAAAATTAGAAAAGAGAGAACTCTTTTGGTCATTGGCACTCTGGTTCTTCGACCTTGATTTTACATGTGCCAGCTACTTAGGGGTCCAATCATCTGTTCTTTCTTTACTTTTTTTTCTGGGTAATTATCTTGTTGTTTATTATAGAAGTTGTGTTGTATAGTGCGAAAGGCCAAGAGCTAAGAAATACTTCCGAGTCCGGCAAGTAATGGAACAATTCTATTCACAATAACAAGGAGAAAAAGATTTAATCTACACTTGATAAGTAGCAATCTGAATAGGAGTTGGGTACTATTTTGGACGCATGAATGCGTAACTACATCTTCATTGCCCCTATTCATAATAATTTCAAATTTTGTTTGCATTGAAAAATTTGACGAAGGATTTAAAATTCATTTAAATCACTTAATTGTTTGACTTGTTTAAGAGGCATTTAATTTTGTAATTCATCAATTATCTAAGTATTACTTAAATATTAGAATACTTAGTGATTTATGAGTTCAAATTTCTCTTATATCTTCAAATTCTTTATTAAATTTCTTAATCCAAACGTAGCCTGATTTTATATATTATGTTTTTCTTTGTAACTGTTCCTACCCTAAGGAGAAAATAGGGATAATTTCACAAACCGCCCCTGAGGTTTCTGACACTTGCACTGAGACCCCTCCAAGTTTTAAAAATTTCACCTAGCTGCCTTGTTTTTCAAATTTGGTAACAATTCAGTCCAATTTGGATTAAAATATTACTATCATGATAGAGATGACATTTATATTCCATGAATACCCTCTTCCTCCCTATATTAGTACAAGATTACTTGTTAATAAAAAGGTAGAGATGATTATGGGTATTTTATTCTATATCATTTAATTTATGTTAAATACATAAATATTTGCAAATAAAATTCAAAAGCCGTTACACAAATATTTTTACGAAAGGAAAACTAGCATGTTTTGTATTTAATATAAATGAAGTATTTGAAAGTAAAAAAAAATGTCCATAACATCCCAGTTCTTTACGAGTTTCTTCCATTATATGAATAAAGTACTAACTATTTATGAGTATTTTATTTTGAATCATTTAATTTATATTAAATACATAAATGTTTATAAGTGAAATTCAAAAAGTGTTACACTAATATTATTACGAAAGGGAAACTAGTAGGTTTTGTATTTAACATAAATTAAATACGTGAAAATAAAAAAAAAATTACCCACTTTTTACCAGTTCTTTACGGGTTTCTTCTATTATATGAATAAAATATTAGCTATTTATAGGCATTTTACTCTGAATCATATAATTTATGTTAAATACATAAATGTTTGTAAGTAAAATTTAAAAAGTGATATACTAATATTTTTACGAAAGGAAAACTAGTAGGTTTTGTATTTAACATAAATTAAATACGTAAAAGTAAAAAAAGAAAAGAAATTGCCCATAACATATCAGCTCTTTATGGGTTTCCTCTATTACACGAACAAAGTAATAGTTATTTATGAGCAAAAAGAAATATCCCATAAAGTACCAACTCTTTATGGCCTTTGTCTATTATATGAACCAAGTACCAAATTTTTATGGACATTTTATTCTGAATCATTTAATTTATGTTAAATACATAAATATTTGCAAATAAAATTCAAAAGCTGTTACACAAATATTTTTACGAAAGGAAAACTAGTATGTTTTGTATTTAATATAAATGAAATATTTGGAAGTAGAAAAAAAATTGTCCATAACATACCAGTTCTTTACGAGTTTCTTCCATTATATGAATAAAGTACTAGCTATTTATGAGTATTTTACTTTGAATCATTTAATTTATATTAAATACATAAATGTTTATAAGTGAAATTCAAAAAGTGTTACACTAATATTATTACGAAAGGGAAACTAATAGGTTTTTATTAACAAGCAATCTTGTACTAATATAGGGAGGAAGAGGGTATTCATGAAATATAAATGTCATCTCTATCATGATAGTAATATTTTAATTCTAATTGGACTGAATTGTTACCAAATTTGAAAAGCAAGGGAGCTAGGTGAAAATTTTAAAACCTAGAGGGGTCTCAGTGCAAGTGTCAGAAACCTCAGGGGAGGTTTGTGAAATTATCCCGAGAAAATATTTACGATAAGAGGCAATATATGTTATAAGGGCAATAAAATTGTATCAGTTGCTATGGAGATGAAAAATTTTATGGTGCAATATGTTTGTGTACGTCTTAGACAGGTCAGTGATTTTGGGTAAAGATATTGATTTACTTAAATTTTCTGAAATGATCAACTCGCTAATGAAATCATTAACTACGCCTTAAAAATGTACCTTGGTTTCCTTCACCTAATTTCTCTTGTGATGATCTCAATTAGACGAGAGTTACAAAAAGGGTAAAGCGAACTTGACAAGGGACCGGTGACGTGCAAACAATAAGCAGAAGTAAAAACTTAGGATGGTCTAAAAAAAATCTATGGTGCAGGTAATAAGAGGAACTAAACTGACTTATAATAATAAAGTTTAGTGCCTATATCGACTTTGTTAAAATAGCTGAAGGGCTAAACTGGCTCATAATAAAGTTTAGAAACTATTTTGAAATTAGCAAAATAGTTTAGGGACTAAATTGTTGTTTTACTCCTTTTGTCATTAAACCTGGCGTGTGGCTTAGCCAGTTTTTGTTAGCAGCTTTCAATTGCTAATTAATTGTGTTGAACTGGACAAGACAATTGATTCATTTAATCTGTTAAAGGGACAGGTGAATAGGCAAAAATAAGGTCAATTAATGATGAAGTTGATATCCAAAATTGAAAAAAGAAGAAAATGATTATTAAAACCAAATCAAATGCATAAGCCAGATTATCCATTTTGACTAAGTAAAAGAAGTCTCTTGCATAGTTGACAAGGTAAGAACAGTAGTCGAAATAAAATAATTGTCACTACTCAGTCAAATATGCAGCCAAAACCTTCAATTTTCGGACAAATATGGGCACCATATCGACCAAGATCTGATAAATATGGGTTTTGGACTCGTGTACTTAGATTTATTATTGGTCAATAACGTAAACAAGTAAACAAAATATTAAAGCGGCTGCATTTTAGAATGCTTTTAGTAGTAGATCACCCTTTAAATTTCATATTAGGATCTTTCAACTTTAAATATTATTTGGAATAATTACTATAATATTTTTTTTACTGTGATGTATATGAGATAAAAAGGTGATTGAGAACATAAAAACGTAAGTTGAAAAATATGTTTATAATATACCAAAATATTATTATTTGAAATAACTTAACTATCTAAAGTCTAAACATTTTCCTTTAAATAACAATAATGTCATGCCTTGGTGCAAGAATTGTATTGTTAAATAGAAATAAAATTTTTTAAAATTGTGACAATATTAGGCTTTCTTATTGCTTGTAAACCGATCTGTAGTCTTTTTTTTTTTTTTTTTTCTTTCGGTTTTGAAAAAAGTAATTTGCCAACTCGCCGTCAACCTTATGTAACTGATGATGATATTTGGTAACAGGATAGAGTGAAGGAGGATTTTTGATTGTGAAACATATTATCCAAGAAATAAATGTCGCTCTTTCGGACCTCCATATGGCTAGTTTTTTTTTTATCACATTGTGTGCCATCATATAGATAATGAGGTGATGTCGAATATGGAAAATGCTAGCAACCATCGCCTCTTTTCTTGAAGACCAGAATGGTTGGTACTCAAAATCAAATCGAGACATGGCATTTGATGGGTCCCACTTCTTATTAGGAGCAACATACCCCTTTTTCAAATCAACAACTGGGCCCGAGTTGTTGCATCCCAAAATGCTTGCGAGGAGAGCACGAGTCAAGTAAATCTGACTACCGCACACCCATAAGTCCACCAACTGTCCACTATGGCTTGCCTTGTTGATAATATTGGCATAGAACTTGTGTACCAAATCTGGATAGTAATGAGTCGGCAACATAAGAATCGGCGCCCAACCAAGTTGGTTAAACGCCTTAGAGATCTAATAAATCGCCTCAATTTCCAAACTAACATGTTTCTCAAAGATAAACTCCAAGTTAGCATGTGTTTTGTACCACTCTTGATTTTTTAGACTTGTAAATCTGGCACTATAAAAAATTGTAACCTCGGTGCTACGAGAAGTACTCCCCCGTTGTCGCCTCCTCACAGGTTGGGGAGAAGGAGATTTCTCTTCTTCACTTTCTTCAAATTCTTCACTCACCTCCATCTCTTCACTTTCTTCACTATTCGAAGAGGAGGATATGATTGTTTGTTTTCCTCTTGCCATAGTACCTAAGAAAGGAAGTTCAATAATCCTCTTATACAGGGATAAAATAGCACATTGCACTCATTTTGACAAGAAATAACTCATATAACACACCTAAACCAAGAGTTTCCTTTTATAGTAATGTTAAACATGTTATAGAGTTATCATTCATCTATAAGGGCTAACATTGTTTCAAATAACCACAGGTACATATATTCTAACGTCACAAGAAA